GAGAGAGAGAGGGGGGGGGAGAGGGGAGGGGAGGAGAAACGCCCGTCTAGTCGAGACCGCGCGTAAAATTCGAAAGGCCGAAGAAGAGATGCCGGAAAGCGATAAATTATTTATAAGCCACACTTGAGAGGCTATCACACGAAGTTTCGCGCTTGTCCTGTTGCATGCGCGCGCATGCGTGCGCATATTCAATGAACTCTGAAATGCTAGATATTAACGATGTAAAATAGAACGAAAAGTATTATGACGCCTATGGCTGAGCTGTTAAATCGATAGCGCGCGCGGCCATCTTTTCCTCGTTTAATTTAAATCGTTTGAATGCAGTTTGAGCGGCCCGCCGTGGCGTAGAATGCGACGACTACACGAGTATGCGGTCTCGATCTCTTTCCAACACGTGTACGTCAATGTTGACAAAAATACAACTGTATTTATATGATTATTATTCAAATGCCCGAGATAATTGGAAGAAATCATAGACGTATGTATATGTACTTTCTCGTAGTTAAACTCGATAGAACGGAAAAAAGGAAGAGTATTGTAAGAGAGAAACGAAACGATTACAATTTGACGGGAAAAATCCTGTCGTGGCCAGGTTTCTTCCGACTTTGCTAAAATCAAATTCACGCACAAGAAACGAGGCCGCTCGGCCTAGACATGAGCACAGTAAGAGAAGAAATCAGGGGAATCCGGGAACATTAGTACGTCGCCCAAAGGTTTTGAATCCAAAGTTCATGCTCCAGGCGATCCCGAGAGTAGGAAGTAAACGGGCGCGCATTCGAACGCTCCGCGTTCGTTCGTGTACGCCGACGCTCGGCGATCCTCGGCATCGCGGCTATCCCACTCCGCGCCATCTAGCCTGTACGCGCGACGGCGATAGTGGGGATGCCAACGGCAGGCTCAATTGTCGGTGAACCGTCGCGAGGTGTGGACGAATGTGCGTTACGAGGACGAGTTAGGGATTAAGAGCGTGTGCCTCGGCTGCCGCGATCCGGTACGACGCGCACCCCAGGAGCGGAAACGGGGCACGACGCTCGTGTTTCCCCAACCGGTTCGGAAATCTTCCGGCGAAGCGACGTAAAGTTTCGAGAGTGTCCCGTGTGTGCGCGCGACGCGCTCGCGCGGACAATTTCACGCGGTAAGTGCGTGGACGCGTAGCGGACCGGAGCAGAGTTTCACGGACGATTTCACATATTTTGTGCCTGCGTTCAATTCGGTCGAGCGGCTGGTATCCACATCCTGAAATGTGTATTGCGGTCGTGCCATTGACGATCGAGAGTGACGCGATATTCCGCGCTCCGTGGCGTTGACGGAAACGAGCGCGCCCGCGGCGCGCTCGCGTCCACCGCGATCGCGATCGAAGGATCGGCGGTGAATAAGAAAGAGAAAAGAACGACCGAGGAAGAATACAAAGGACACTTTCTCGTGACAGCCGTTAGTGTGTGCGCCGAAGATTTTGGAGTTACGACTGGATTTTGTGCTACGTTCAACGGCTCCCGAAAGCCAAAGTCTTTTTTTTTGTGAGATCATCAACGGAACCCCACTGGCAACAACGACCATGACCGCGGACAGCCTGTTCGAGACTACCAGCATCCCGGGGCACCTCGCTCCCACGCCCGAGAGACTGGGGAGACTTCTCTCGAAACAGACTCTCGAGGAGCTCTATGAGGTCGAGGAACAGCCTTTCGCACGGTAAGTCACGACTCGAAACACGCGGCTTCATCTCTCTCCTTCTGTCTTCTCTCTCTCTCTCTCT